TGTGTGTGTGTGTGTGTGTGTACCTATATTGATTTTTAACATATGTTTTACTTTGCATGTCAAATGCACATTCGGACGCTGCTATTACACAATAAAGAGGAAGGAAATTATTATCGAAATAAAGGGAGCGTCGCGTATAATTATATTTCGGAAGTTCAAAAGCGCCGAAGCGAGACGGTTGCGAGTCAAATTAAAGCCGCAGCGGCACCCACGCTAATGCCCGTAATTGCCTCAAACGCGAAGCATATTTCCGGATCAAGGATGTATGGAGGCGGACAGGTCGCTTATGCGTTTATACCTTGCATGAGAAACTGCTCGCGAGGGATGCGATCCTGATAGAACCGCCCTCCTGTCGCCAGGACACCTGTTTGCATTGCGCGGGTCTCATGGGATGGGATGATCTAGGTACTCCTTTCTTATTAGGGAATCATTAGTTATACGAATTGCGTAAATTATATTAACTATTGAATTGCGGTTTTCTTAAGAATGAAAATATAATAAGAATATCCTGCAATTATTAAAAAATATTTTATTACAAACACATAAAAGATTATATTATTTTTAATCAATATATTATAATAATATCCTCTATAAATTAATTATAGAAAAAAGTCTTAATTTACCATTTACTAATATTTATTTGTTATTACTGCAAATATCTCAATTTAAAATGAAAACACGCATGTGTTTGGAAAAAAAAATCAAAGAGTTAATATATTCAAACTTGATAAAAACATTTTTGTTCTTTTTAAAATAAAACGTGTGGATGATAAAATAAACGTGACGAATTACAATGTTAAAGTTAATAGCGGTATTTAAGATTGAATGAATAATATTTTCCTGAAAAATCAAACGTAACATATACAGCTACATGCAAAAATAAAATATGTAAAATCACTAATAAATAAGAAATACAACTATGGTATATTCTTACTTAATTTTTCTTACAAGTGCTTCACTTTTTATGACAAAATATTTGTGAAATTTCTTTTTGCATCAAATTAATAGTGTAAAGATATACCTCTCATTACAAATGTATGGAAAATTGCGAGTATTATGATTTCATGGTAATATCATGCATTAAACAAAATTACATAATGTACTGAAATTTACACTAGAAGAGGGAAATTATAGAATATAGCTATCTATTGATCAATAGAAAAAAGAAGGGGATAAGACTCTTGTCGATTTCTTAACAATCATTCTTGAACCAAACTTAGCGAAGTGATGATCTGTATAGAAACGCAGTATTTAAGTCTCAATAGAATTTTATTACTCGCTATTGGCTTGTGGCCATATCGACAAACAAAAATCACTCAATTTCAATTTGTTTTCTTTTCTGCTATTTTGACGACGAGTATTATATTTCAGGTGAGGAGAATAGCATGTAATAACATTATTGCATAAAAGAATTAATGCGTAACAATTTTTTATTAAGAAATAATTGAAATAATTTGTATCAATCTAGTTATAATTACCTAGTTATAATTATTTATCATTATATGCAATTTATAATTACATTACAATTTAGAACTACATAATTACAGTTGACAACATTTATAACAACAAATTTGACTTTGGATGTCATCGTCACGGTTTTGACCACCGTATCTGTTATGACTATTTTCATGATAAAATATTATGCATTTCGCATTAACATTGAACCTGTAAGTTGATAAATATCACCAAATATTATCTGTTAAATTTTTTATATCAAACAATATTTCCTAATACCTACTGTTACATACAAAGATATATATTACATAAAGTTACTAAAATAACAGGTAAAGAAGTCGTTTATAAAACTTCAGCATATATGTAACGAATTAAAAGATAAAAACGAAATCGCTATCATAGAAAAATATGGTTACATTACAAAATGTTATACGGCTGCACTTACGAGTAAGATAATATTTTTATAGTTTTATACGATTATATTTTCTTATTTAACATGTAAGCTGTGCAGATTTTAATAAGAAATCGACTTTGACAAATCACAATAAATTTTTTGAACATATATTTGTATAACTTTGAATTTATATATACAACGTATGGCATATCATTTGAGTCTAATGGTAAATATTCACAAAAGCATTTTCAAAAATCAATGATCTTGACATATATTATCAAAGTTATGATTCTGAGTAAGTTCCAATAAGTTTTAGTCGTCGCTCGTTAAAAAGTTATAAACAAAAAAAGTTCTTTGTTTTTGTCATTACACTGAAAACGTTGACTTTTGTGCTAATAAAACAGCATTTATAGAGTTTATTGCATTGTTAAGAAAAGTATAGCTGAAAGTTATCGTTTGCTTGTAGAGGTGAGGAGTATGCTCCATCCAAAAAAGTGGTTTGAACGTTTTATAAGTGACGATTTCGATAAAAGATAAAAAACGTAAAAATGCATCGAAAAATTGAAAGATGAATAACTGGAAGCATTACTTGATGAAAATCCATATCAAACGCTAAAAGAATTGTTAATGTTGATTAATCAAACATTTAAATTTGTTAGCAAACATTTAAAAGTAAAATTTCACAAAAAAAAAACGGCGGAAACTCATTCAAACACCAAACATATAAATATATATAAAACAGAAATTTTTGGAGAGAAGCTTTAAAATATATTTTACGACTTTCCACGCGAAGCGACTTACACTCCACCTGAAAAGGAACGTGAAAAATCGTGCGTCTGATGGCAGAGGGGGAGTGAAAGTCGCTTTGCATAGAAGTCGTTCGCCCCTGAAGTAGGGGAAAAGATGGGGTGAAAATCGCTTCGCGTGGAAAGTTGCGCGCTTCTAGGCAGGAGGGAAGATGGGGTGGAAGTCGCTTCGCGTAAAAAGTCGTAAAATATATTTTAAAATCAAAATTTTCTGTTTTATATAATAAAAAAGATACATTATTTTTCGAACTTTGTATATGACTTTTTAACAAATAATAAGCGACGGCTATATAAAACTTATTGGGTCATGACAACATACATTGATTTTAAAAAGGTGATGACATTTTGTAAATATTTACTGAAAATTGAAAAGCATTATACATATACATATATACATATATATGAAATAATTTTAAATGTATTATGTAACACAAACATTTTTAAATACGAATATTAATTATTTTCCAATATTTTTTAGTAATTGGCATTTGTTCAATATTTGTTATTATTACCGTTCAATTTTGGAATATATTTGATATTGGTCTATCGACAAACATATCTCAATCAAATCGCCTGTACTTCGTAACAGAATATTTTATTGATCAAGAAAAATATTTATATTTAATTCTATTACATATAAGCATAGCACTAGTTATAGGAGCAACTGCAATGGTAGCAACAGGAACCATGCTTATTGCGTATTTTAAATTTATCTGTGGAATGTTTAAAATCTCTAGGTATAAAACAAAATAAACACAAAACTTGAAGTTGTAAATAAAATTACATTGCTGTGTTGAATAAATGAGATGAAGTTTACTTTGCAATAAAAAATACTTTATTAAAAAATCATATTATTTATAGTTATCGTATTGAACGCGCAGTGAATATCAACGTTATGCAAAATATTAATATAAAAAACAAAATTTTAAGATTTAAGGATTTAAGATTTGAGGATTTAATTTGCGCTATAGATATCCATCGGCAAGCCATAAAGTTAGTATCTATATGATCCTACATATAATTATTACATAAAATATATGCAATAACAATTACTTATTTTTGAAGATTATCCAAAAGTTTGCTATCCTATTTTGATGTAATGTTCTTCTGTTTAGCGCAGATGCTTGTAGTTTCATTGTGTTTCAACTTTGTACGAGTAAGTTTTGGATTTTATATTATCCCTATTTTTAATCAAGCATTAGATAATCTGTAACATATAATAGAAACTTTATTTCACATATACTACATGAGAAAACGTTTTGAGTTGATATTTCTTATTAATCGACCAAATTTGCGTAGCAATTTCATATATAAATCAAACCTGATTTTCTGCTTAAAAGAAACAAAACCGTATCGTAAAATAACAGTTACAATTAAAGTGCAACAAATTAACTACAGTTGTGAGATTTGTATTACAGATTTTTCAGATTATATTGACGGAGAAAGCTAATAAAGAAGCTTTATTGCCTGTGATATTTGCAATTATTTTAATATTATATATGTTCCTATCAAATTTTATTGGACAAAATATAACGGATCACAATAATTACGTATTCGCTACTGTGTAAGGGATTTTCTTACGAAAAACGATATTAAGAAGGTTCACTTTATAAATTTTTATACCGAAACAAATATTTAATATCAATAGTATTGTACAATTAACGTAAAATAATGAAAATTACTTGTAAATTTTCTTATTTTTTTTCTCAAATTACCGATTCTTGTCTTAATAATTTATGTAGATACAGAATTGAATGGTATATAACTCCTTTATACATCCAGAAAATGATACTCTTCCTATTGATAAAAGGTGCCAAAAATTTCTATCTGAGTATCGGTGGATTATTTGACCCATCATTAGAGTGTTTTGCCACGGTAAGATTATAGTGTTTTTTCTTGATTATACTATAGTATATTAAGAGTTAATAATATGGTTGCAGTTGGTAAAAGCTTCAGTATCTTATTTTACTGTCATATTATCTACACAGTGACAAGACAAATACGAATCAAATACAAGCATGAGAAAACATATACTATATTCAAAGAAGATAACAGCATTTCTCACGTTTAAAAAAAAAATTATATTTTTTACTACACATATATACGTATATATTTAGCTTAAAATTTTATTATACTAAAAAAATATGGAATCAAAAATATTCAACAACATAAGATTAAATCTCGGTTTAATTTACTCTTACTCTTTTTCTAATTTCAAGTATAAAAGAGAGACAGAAAAAGAGGGGGGGGGGTAAATAGTATAAATTAAACCGAGATTATATAGTAATTAATCCTACTTTGGTGGAACTTGAGTTCAAATGTCTGTAAACGTATAAATAAAATTGTACGCGCGCGCGCGCGCGCGCGCGTATTGTACAAATATATAGAACAGATTTAATTATTTTATTGTAGAATGTATTATAATAATATTTAATATATCATGTTAGAAATATTATAACAATATTTCACAAAATATAAAGCAATATATCATAAAATGTTATTGATATCTAATTACCATGTTTTAAATTGACATAAGATATATTAATTACGATTGATATCAAAGGAAAAATATGGAGGATATTCATTTCACAGAACAAACGTACCATGTAAGAGTTCATACAAAAAATGAAGTTACTGCACCAAAAAACAGATAATACGTGCTTGCGTGACTTCTGTCCTTTGATAAATGTCTTTTTTTTTTATTAAAAGAAGATATTCATGCAAAATTTTCTTGATGTTAGAGTAATGCCTTAATAGTTCTTATTGCAAAAAACACTACTAAAATATGAATGAACTTGTGATCTCACAGTGGATATATCGTACAGCCTTATATTATACAAATTATGGCATTTATATTAAAAATTTACACTATAAGAGAAAATATCAAGATAATCGATGGAAAAGAAGAAGGGATAATCGTACTCGTTGACTGCTTCGTAACCAGTCGCATCTCGGACATCGCAAAGAATGATTCATCTAGAAATTCAGTATTTTACCATCAATAGAATTCTATTGCTCGTTATCGGCTTGTGGCCCTATCAACAATCTAAATTCACACGATTTCAATTTATTGTTTTGTCTATTATTCTGATATCGGGTATTATATTTCAGGTAAGAACAGAGTATAGCAATATTGTGTGATAAAGTATTATTTTGTATATCTTCATTAACAAGTAATTTATCTTACTATTATGTAATATAAGAATTATATATAAATTTATGATTGTTTATAAGTGTAATAAAAAAATAAAATTATTACTGGTAGTTGACAACGCTAATGACATCAAAATGTACTTTAAATCTCATCAGCAAGATCCTATCTTCTACGTCTTACTTTATTTTTTGCACGATAACTTACGACTCATTCTGTATTAACATCAAAGCTGTAAGTTGACAACTCACAAAATATGCGTTTAACAGTATAATAATCATCAGTGTCAAATAAATCTTTATTATATATTAAAACATTTTTATATATTATTATATGCAAAGATAATATATGAAATTATTGAAATAATAGGTAAAGGATTTATTAATGCAACTTGAGCATATATGTAACCAAGTAAAAGATAAAAACGAAGTTGCTATCATAGAGGAACATAATTACACTGCAAGACGTCACACAATTACACTCACAGGTAAAGAAATATTCTAGGATCTACGCTTACAATTATTGTGTAACTTGTGATTAATATTTCTACATATTTT